CTGTTGTCGATTAACGGATAATGCAATTTGTATTCCAGTTAATATTTTCGTATTCGAATTGTCCTAATATACGTACTGCAAGAAATTATTAAACAAGATGCAACAGCTATTCTGTAAACTGTCTGTCAATTTTGTCCACATTTTAGCAATCGACACCGAATAAAACGGTGCATTTTGGAAATACATTTTACCATTTGCCAATAAACTTAAACAATCTTCTAGTGGTTTAAATACGTCCCCTGTCTTACAATAATCTCCAATAGTATAGTTATATATTGTCGTCTCCAATCTTATAATGCAATGCTCTCTCGCTGGATTAGAAGAAAATATTTCCTTTAGACGGGCATCTGGACAATAAAGTCGATAATATGGTTTCCGATCTGTTTATTGACTCCAGGATTGGTAATTTGGCACACAAATTTGTTATACATTTTAACTTTGGCATTCGAATTTAGCCATGTTAAACAGTCTATACCAACTGTTTTGTTATTATCTATAATTATATTGCTGCCATCGTCGTACTCTCCTCGGTTCCAAAAATCGTGATTGTCAGTTAGAAAACGAGTCATTTCCGTTTTGTTAAATACGCCTACAAAATCCTGCGTAATATCGAAATCCATATGATAGTAATTGTCGATTCTAAGCAGTGCTAATTTTTCTGGAAATTCTTCTAACAAATCGTCCAATTTATCGTTTGCCAGTTCCTTTTTGTACGGAATAGCTACAGGATTTTTATATTTTTTATTTATAATTTCCAAAACTTCCTTTCCAATAACTTGTACAATTCGTTGGCCCATTTTGTTCGTAGTATCCAAACGATAAGGTAATTTTGATTTTACTCTGTGTCGAGCAGAAACGAATTAAGAAAATTTACCTCATAAATAGTTATTAAATAATCCGCATATTTCTTTCTTTACTACTATACTGTCTGGTAATTCGCAATTTACAAGATCGGTCTTTTAATAAGCATTATATTATCGCAAAACGGATCTGTTATAGGAGAAAGAGTATTTGTATCTAGTAATTTCTCTCCTTCTGTATAGTTAATATTGCCAAAATCGGAAACTAGGTTGTTATTAGCTAAATTTTCTGTTAGCAACCATAATCCAAACCGCTCGTTCGTTGGTTTTATTCGATTACCCAAAACTTGGGATAAACTGCAGATTTTTGTAGAATTCATGTTCACTGTTTCGACTACAGTCAACGACTAAACTACAGTAAGAAATGATTTCCCTTATATATTATAAGGATACAATGAGCCGCACAACCATCGGGCATCTTCGATAACCGTTGAAATATATTCGGAGTAATAAACGCATGCACATTTATTATTATAACCATTCTAGTTCCTCCTATTGGGAACCATAGGGTAAGTTAGAAAATAGAATGTTAGGTTAGTTTACCCCAGTTTTGGTAAGTTTAATTTAGTAAAGGTTTGGTTAGGTAAGCTAAGCATAGGTTTAATCGGAAAAAAAAAATTTGATCGTATGAGACTAGGAAGTAAGTAGTTGGTGTTTTTTTTTTCCCCAAATCAATCCGATCAAATTCGAAAACGTCGAAAATTACCGTTCGGTTTCGTATATTCCAAAAGAAGAACACGCAATAATGAAATTAAAAATAATAATAATAAAATCCATACGATACCAATATGTTGTTTATATGATTAAGTTAAAAATACGTATAGGTAAACCATACCTATAAAATTATACTTTCGTAAAACTTCTAATCGTATAAATACTGAATACGCTGTTATAATACGAACAATTGATAGATGCTTAAATCTTAACGTCAAAGGTATATGGGTTTTGAGATGAGGTCCACGGAACGTAGGACGTACGTCAAAATTATAGTGTAAAATATCTATAACGCCGGTCGTCGTAGCGATGGCAAATAAATACCGTTGGCAAATTAAACACCCAAACAAATCAACTGTTGCTTCGTGGAT